TTAATTAAAATTTAAAAGTATAACCCATTCAAATCAATGAACAGCTGAATCTTTCTACATGCAAACAGCTCTAAGAGACAAAGATAAATAAAATGTGTCCAGTAAACTTACATGCCATGTATATGTCTGTATTGGTGATTAAACCAATGGCCTTAGGAGGACACTAAGTACATGCTTTCCCACTGAGCTATACTTCCATCCCTACATGCATTTTCTTCATTCCATTGCCTCCTTAGTAACATCATCAATTTCTTAAGAGTTCAGACTCGAATCCCAAGACATAACTACTATGGACCTGTGTCACTCTCCATCTGACTACCACTTGTAACTTATGGATTCAACGTTTATAGAGTCCTTCCATTCCCACTATCCTACTTCAAGATTTTGATTCTATATGCTGTTCCATATAGAATCATGCAGAAAGACATCTACTAAGCAGCTCTTTATCATAAAGAGTCAATACTGATGGGGCTGATGAGATGGCTCAGTGGTCTAAAGCATCTACTTAGAACAAGCTTAGCAAAGCACAGGGACCTCGGTTCAATCCCCCAGCACCACATGCCAGCCAGCCCCGCCCCTTGGTGGGCTGAGCTGCCCCCCCTCCACACAAATAAATAAATTAAAAAAAAAAAAAGAGTCAATACTGATAATCACACAAAATGGTACAAAATGTTCTTCAGGAAAAAACAGTACCTTTACCTTTCTCTGCCTGCATCTATACTGTAAATGGACATTAGCAGAAAAATAATTTTAAAGTTTCAGTCATTGAAAAATAACTTCCAAACACCAAAAGGCATCAGATATGGTGGTACATGCCCATAATCCCAGCACTCAAGAGACTGAGGCAAAAGGATTACTTCAAGTTCAAGGCCAGCCTATACTACATAGTGACACCTGTTTAAAAACAAACAAAACAAAAACAAATAAACAAAAAACAACCATAATCACCCAAAGACTAGCATCTCTCTTTTTTGGGTGAAAGGTAGACAACAGCAATGGAGACTGAACACCCACCCTTTGTTTTACTTTGAGATAAGTTTTCACTAAGCTGTCCAAGATATGTTGGAACTCATGATCCCCCTGTCCCAACCTCCCAGAGTGCTGGGATTACAGGTGTGTGATACCAAGCTCTGGTGTCAACTCTTGATATATTTGAATAGAAATTATAAGAACTGTCATCCTATAAAACAAGACACACTCATTAACAAAGCAAATACTTTCCTTTCCCCTTTTACTTCAACTAAGGGCCCTCAAATTTCTGAGCGGAATCTGCAATTGAGTTACTAAGAACAGCTAAATGTTGTTCTTGGGCAGGGGAGATGGCTCAGTGGAATAAGCGCTTCCCTGGTAAGCGCAAGGGCCTGAGTTCAATCCCTGGTTCCACAAACAAACAAACAAACAAACAAACAAAAAAACCTAAATAGTTGAACACAATAGAGCAATCAAAAGTGCTGGCCATGCCTAAATAGTGCCAGGACCTGAGAGGCTGAGGCAGGAGGATCACTGTAAGTTCAAGAAATGTAATAGCAAGACCTTGTCTCAGCTCAGTAGAATAAGCAATTGCCTGGCAAGTGCAGGATCCTCAGTTCAATCCCCAGTACCACCAAAAAAAAAAAAAAAAAAAAAAAAACCTGTCTCAAAAAGACCAAAAAAAATCCCAAAACAAATCTGATGGTGTAGCTACATGCAGTGGTACACACCTGTTACCCCAGCTACTTGGAAGGTTAAGGCAAGAGGACCATAAGTTCAAGGACAGCTTGGGCAACTTAGTGAGACCCTGTCTCAAATAAATAATGTAAAGGGCTAAGCATGTAGCTCAGTACTATGGCACTAGTACCATGTGCAAGACCCTGCCTTTAATCTCCGAACGTATCAAAATAAAGAGTGCTAATGGAGAAATATATCACTAGAAAAATGCTTGAAAAAAACAAACAAAAAAAAAAAAGAAAAGAAAAATGCCTGGAATAGTAACTAAATAAACATCAGCACCAGGCATGCTACTACACAGCTGGTGGAACCCCAGCTACTCTTGCAGGGTGAGATAGGAGGATCACAGGTTTGAGGCCATGCAGCTCTCAGTAGTTCCGTACTAGGGGTACCGTGTTTGCTGAGCAACCATGAGGCCCTGGTTACAACACTCAGTGCCTTGGTAAACAAACATGAGTGCCCTTACTCTGATAGAATAGATATAAAGATTTTTTTGAAGGACTACAACCCAATATTAACAGTGCTACCCTGGGTAATGAGATCACCAATGACTTACTTGTATTCTGTACTTTTTAGAAAAACAACACGAATCATTTAAGTTAATTTTTTTCTATTTTTTCTCAAAACCTAAATGCATAGCAATAAACACTAATGTTCTATCTCTTTATCTTATCAGGACCTCTCCAATTATCAGCTCTGCTTAAGCCATGAGGTTTTAAAAGTATTAAAACAACAAGCAACAAACTAAAGAGTATAAAAACAAATCTAAAGAAAAGAAAAAAGTACGTATGTTTACAAATGTGAACAGGGATTTATTTACAGCTTAATCCTTCCTAATACAATCACCCCACTGGGTGAGGACACCAAATAATTATCTACTTTGAGGTTTAAGCAAAAAATAAACCATTGATTGAAGAATGACTTTTGCCAGCTGCTACTGGGTTGTCATCTTTACCATAACAGAAATGAATATCAGAATTTAGGGAACAGATTTAGCACTGAAAAAACTAATGTTTATACAAAATATGCAGTAAAATTATTCTAATAAAAGAAATTATCAATTAAGAACAATTATCTCAAAGAAAAAAATAATTATCTCTTGATCATTCTATTTCAAATGCAAAAACACTGAAGACAGCCAGGCGTGGTGGCACACGCCTGTATTACCAGCCCTCTGGAGGTTGAGGCAGGATGATCTTGTTGCAAGCTGGAGACCAGCCTGGGCCGCAGCAAAGTGAGCTCAAGGCCAGTCTGACCCTGTCTCAAAAAGACAAAAAAAAAAAAAAACCCACTGAAGATAGTGGGCTTATACCTGATCTCCAAGTTAGGAGACTCAGGTCACTATTTTGACTCCATTCACTAACCACATAGCCTCCAGAGTGTTAAGTGAAAGTTAAGTGAACTTTCATGGATTTCCCAACCCTCTCCAGGTAAAATGAACAAGTTAGAGAAAATAATCACAAAAAATCTTGAAAACCTTCAAAAACTCCATGACTTTAAAGGATAATTTTTCCTTATGTGTCAGCAAAGAACACCTACAGACACCAACAACAGTGGTACAGAGCTCAGACCTATCCTCTCCCACAGGTACGGTACTCAAAGAGGTAGTTTAAGAACACTTTATACACAAAGAAAAAAAAAAAAAAGAAAGAAAGAAAAAAAAAAAAAGAAAAAGAAAACTTTTAAGTGTGCCTTCAGGTAATTAGGCAGTGTTAATTCCTACGTTACCTCCACAATTCTAAACAAACAAACAAAAAAACAAACAAAAACCATGAAAAGAATAAAAACCTAGAGAAGGATTAACATTGTAGCCCTCAACCTCATTAGAATATTTTGTAATACTAAAACCTGATCCAGTGGCAATTACTTGTCATTCAACACTCTCTAAAACAAAAGTTACATAGGTTAAAAAATATATATATATACAGCAATAAAGCAAAAATTAGGGGAGGAAATCAAAGAAATGAACAAAGGAAACAGAAAACCATGTGCCCCAATAATCCCAAGGCTGAATGAAGGTCTCCCTCCCTTTATTTCCAATAAAGGGGCTGCTAATAACACCAGATGCTGCCATGCTTGTGTCAAGGAACAATACTCACAATAATGATCAGGCCCTCAGAAGTTCCCAACACTCCTTTCACCTTGAAAAAGGGGCTTTCTTTTCCAAAGATTCAGTCACTGTAGCCGATCCCTCCATGAGGGAAGGAGAAAGGGCCTCTTCTTGAGGAACAGAGAAAGAAAATCCTTTTAATACAATCTCAAGACAAACGGAAAGCAAGTCAGAGACACACATACACTAAATAGGGCTCAGCTCTTCAACATGGAGTGTGCAGGAAATCTCAAAAGCATCAAGCACTGTTTCCCTTTTCCTCCCTTTATTAGCATGCAGAAAAAGGACCCCTCTGTCTCCACACAGGGAATGAAACAGTGAAATGCTCCTGATTTCTACTTACAAAGACTCCTTCGATAAAAGATTTTTTCCTCTTTTTCAGTGCGAGAGGAGAAAAGGAACTTTCTGCACCAGTCCATACAGACAGAACTGAGTCCTTTCCTTAAACATAGTCTTTATTTTTCTTGGGAGAGCAAGAAAAAAAAAAACAAAACAGAATCATCCTCTGGGGTGGTGTATGTAGACGAGTTTTTGTAAATGGAAGCTCTTTTTCTGTCACTGGAGCAAGCAAGGGGAATGAGAAAAGGCCATCTCTAACCAGTAAGAAGTGATAGGTTCAGTGGACAAAGGAAAGCTCACTTCTGGGATCTGATGTTGTTTCCTCTTAAGAGTACTGACCTGCTTCCAAAAGCTGTCTTTTTTACCTATCATTTTCAATGACACCCTCTTTATTAATTTGGGGAAAAGAATATGATAGAATCAAAGAGACTTTCTCCACACTGGGGAAAGTATTCCTTTTCGGCAGAAAGGCTACACTGAACACTTGTTATTATGAGCTAGGAGAAAAACATCTGCCGCTGCTTTGTGCAAGGTAACAGTTTTCTTTCCTAAGAAATTAATAGGAACAACTTAGCAAAATTTACTATGTACTAAGCAGTTACACAAATTCTCCCTTAGCCCTCAACAACTCTAAGAGCTGCCAAATTAGAGATGGGCCAATAAGAAGTCATGAGCCAAGGTCACAAAGATGTTTGGTGGAAGATACAGGCTGGAAAACTATCCACTTCGAAAGTCACGCTCTTAATTGTGCAAAGGAAAAGGAATTCATCACACATCAAGAAACTTGTAAGAAGTGAGAGACTGGACCGCGAGGGGGGTACTCCGATGGCTTTTAATGCCATAAAGCAAATGCAGGGTTTTCCCTAAATCTTGGGGTAAAAGTGAAAAATGAAAGCGGGAAGGTACTGTAATTTAAGGGGAAAGGAAGATCGCCTCTGTCACTTCTAAAGAAGTTGAATTTTCCTTTGCACCTGCAGGGTGCTGACCAAACTACGGGGGAGGGGGCGCGGGGGGGGGTAGTCTCATCTGGGAGATACCCTGACGGGTAAGTTCAAAATTTCCGGGCGCAATAGATGGTCGAGAGGCAAGGAAGCGCACGAGCCCAAGACAAGGGGCGTCGTCCTCCACAAGAAGTTGTGGGACCCCTGCCGAGGTAGGAGTCTCCACCGACGTTACGATTTGGAAACCCATTTTCCTCTAGCAAGGCGAGGCCTGGTCTCCAGCCTCTCTCTGGGTCGTTCTACCGCCCGTAACAGCGCAGCCTCCGTTCCCTTCCGCGCCCCCGGGCGGGGAAGGGGGGGGCGCTAGGCTCCCCTACAGCCAGCACCGCCCAACGGAGGGTGCCCTCAGGGTTTTGCAGGACCAGGCAGTTATGCCGAAAGCCTTCTGGTCTCTCAGCCTCTTACCCTGAGACCTGCTCCGCGGCCTGCGCTTGCCCCTCCAGCTTGGTCTCTGCAGACGCAGCCCGCAGCCCGATCGCCGCCAACTCTACCTGAGCCTGCGGAGCCGAAAGCCCGTGGGCGCTCGGGCCACTACTGCCGCTCCGTCTCTATGGTCCTCCCGCACTTCCTCATCCGGGGCCCGACCTAGCCATGCGGAGTCGCCCAAGTACCGCCCCCGCACCACGCGCGCGCGCGCGCACTTTAAGGGGGTGGCTCTTCCCATAAAGGACCTCCCGCCCTCCGCCAGCCACCGCAGTCCTCAACCGCGCCCGGGTGGGTCAGACTCTTAAAGGGGAACACATCTTCGGCTGGCTCCTGCTGAGGCCCAGGATTCAGGGCACAGTCTTGCTACTGTCCCTGTTCACTATTTTTCTGATTTGGACGTGTGCTGTTCTAGGAAACATCCCAGGTTCCATTCTGGAAGCTTGGGAGGCTTTTTAATAACTGGAATAAGTATTAGAAGTCTATTCACTAACCTCTAATCATACTGACCACAGTATCTAAGTGGCGCCTCTTCTTAGTTGCTTACAACACTGTTTTCATATCTTCACCTATTTAACATGTTTTTCATCACTTGTTTACCATCTGTTCCTTTTCACCCTTGCTTTGTTTAACATTATGTTCAAAGCACCTAATGCAAAGTCTGACAGACATCTGAAGGAAAAAAACCCTGAAGGAAACTGAAGATGTTCAAAGAATGCAATCCATTTCCCCAAAATCACACAGATAAATGTTAAGAGATCTATTACTTCTTTTAGCTGGGTGAGGGCTGCCAAAAACATGGGAGTGCAAGTATCATGTGATATGACATCTTTAACTCTTCCAGGAAGATATCTAGAAGGAGAACAGTTAGGTCAAATGGAATTTCTAGTTTCAGCTTTTTGAAGAATCTCCATACTGATTTCCACAGTGGTTGTACAAGTTTATATTCCCAGCAACAATCTAGAAGGGTTTCTTTTTCTCTCCTGAGTTGCTAGTATTTATTATTTAATTACTTGATGATAGCCATTCTTTCCAGAGTCAGACATCTCAGTGTTTTAATTTGCATTTTTGTAATGGGCAGGGATGTTGAATATTTTTTCTATTGGCCATCTATACTTCTTCTGAAATTTGTCTACTCATTGCAGATGCTCGTTCTTTGATTGAGCCCTTTATTTTAGGTGGTCTTTTTTTTTTTTTTCTTTCCGAGTTCTCTATATATTCTAGGGGCCAGAGATATAGCTCATTAGAATAAGTGCCTGATGGCAAGTGCAAGGTCCTGAGTTCAATCCCTGGTACTGAAAA